CGACCTCATGCAAAGTCCACCAACCACACAGTGGCTGTTCATTTTCTCAAAATCTTACTTTTAGTTGTATGCTATAGACGTTTAAATTGATCTGCCTGTCTACACACCATAAGAGGCTACCACAGCACGCAAATTTCGCATTTTTACTGTCTCTACCTCCCTCACATGCATCCGGATCTTCAGTATTATTTTATTTATTGCCTTTAGCAAACTGAAGTCAACGTTTACATTTTTATAATAGGTGTCACCCTCTCTGATGAAAGCAAATCAAGATTCCTCCCGAAAGCCGTCGAGCCGAGAATGTTGACTCCGTTCTAATAATAGTTCGCATTTGACGAAATCAAATTCACTCACAATGGAATAAATGCTGAAAATTTGACCCAATGATGGCCCCACCTACATGGACTTCGATTGTCCATTGACTTCAACAGCAACTTCGTGTCGTAACGCACTGGTCACGCCGTACTCCGCATTGCTCATATTTCTTCACATCCTGCTGAAATCCCATCAAAACCCATACTGAAACTCCCTCTGGCGAAGTCTGCAGCACTACGCCAGAGCTCCCATGATCGACCGCTATTTCGAAACACTAACATGGTGCCTCTGCAAACAGACTGACACTCTAACCGATCGTGAACTACGAACTTCACATTGAATCAAAAGTTCATATTCGCCCAGATGATTGCCTAAATTTTGGACAAATTTTAGTGGGAAGATGACACTCCCCTAGCTTCGCTTGTACGCATAATCCTAAACGGCGTTCAAAGGAAATGGGTTTGTTCTCCCTTCACCATCAATTCGCAGTCCTAACAGCGTTTCTAAGAGATTGTCATAACAATAAAAGGCATACAAACCAGCTTGCGATCCCCTTACGAGATAGCGGATACTAAATCCACACCCACTTTTTACCTCAACAGAAGATTTCAACTACAGCTAGCAGCGGTAAGTTATCGTACGTCACACCTAATTTGTTTGCTCGATGTGATCTATTTAACATAAGTCTCTGTTCTGGTCAGGATATACGAGGTAAAACTAGGAGCCTCATCCAACAGGAACCAATGTGCATGTGATTAAGGCTAATGTCCTGCCGGTGTGCTTAGTCACTTGACTAGTAACTTTAGCAGTTGACCACCATTATTGAATTTATTGTTAGTGTCGAATCGAACTCAAAGCAACATTGTTCAATTCACATGCTTAACGGCACTGATTTTGGTGACCATCCCGTTGTTGTGATGCTTTGACCTTGTCACTCTAACAGTCCACCAGACCTTGCTGTGGCAGCACAACAAACATGCGTCGCTTCTCAATTTCTTCAGTATCGAATCTAGGGCCGAAGCAAAATGGAGCAGGTTATTCCCATTCCTATTAGCATCTGGAGCTGTTTGACATGAGTCGAAATGTAAATCGAGGTTCTATCACGAAAAAGCGTTTGGTGATGGGAACAAGAACCAAGATAACGAAACTTTAAGCTGTTTCTTACAAATACATCCCATTTCATCTGCAACATACAGCCATTAAGCTACTTCTGTCAGTGATGAAAAAATTCACATCTCTGTCGCAACTTCAATACAATTAGAAAAGTGAGTAGTTTAACTGATAGATAAGAATAGACAAACACTCAAAGAACATCCCAAACAGTCTACTACTGAACATACCCCAAAGGAGGCCAAAATCTATTTGATCTTCATTAGGACAACCTTTCATCAGCTGATTCACTTTTAAGTCCCCCCTGCTATACATCACCTCATGGAAGGAACCTTTAAACAGGATTAATTTATTTACAGATTACCCTCACCGTTCGTCCCTCCCATAGTGACTGAATTTTCGTATATTTCAGCCAAAACACAAGTAGTTTCGGGAATTGAACTAAATCGAATAAACCTCTTTTGACGCGGGACTCGGCCAAATGACGACCATTAATTTCGTTTCATTGCATCACCAGACTCAATAAAGTTTTATTTTGCAAAAAAGTGAGCGAGCCCATTTTCGCTAGAATGGACGATTATGCAACTCCATTCCTATCGTTAAGCGTAAAAATTACCTTGTGCACACATGTCTTCTCAAACAAGATAGAAAAATGCGCATGAAAAAAGAATCCTTGGGGCTACCTAACTTATGTACACGATGAAGAATGGGTCAGAGGTTTGCTAATCATGGGAGTGGGGGACTCGAGCTCAGTGTGTACTCGTACCTCTTGCAGCCAAACATCTAGCGCTGTCATAAGGCGGTAGGTTGCAATATAGGGCTTCTCCAATATTTGCTCTCTGTGGGCGAAATGTACCACGCCAGATGTGGCGTTTTCGCTTATGCTCCAATCCTCCTCTTCTTCGTCACTAGGGAAGAAATTGCGTGGTATCTGGCCGCCCGTATAGATGTAGAGGCTGGTGCAGTCGGAATTAAGGGTCTTTTCGCCAGAGTCGCTGCTGCTACCGCTGGTGTTGGTAGCAATGGAGTCTGATGAAGTATGGTTTCCTGAGGAAATACTCGCAAATGAAGCCGACTGCTTGGAAGAAAAAGATTTCGCGACTGGGTCCATCATTAGGACGCAGTGTTGCGTCACCATTATCCCCACTTGAGAAATTCCAAGTGTGCTTTAACTGGAGAAGTCAGAGTAGAGGCGATCATAGGATTGCGACTCTCATTAACTTTTAAAATACGGTCGTGGTTGGCTTGGTGGTCAGGCCTACTGCGCTTGGCACTCAAAGTCGCTGAAAGCGTAAACGAGATACCCACTTTATGTCTGGTCTATCGCTAAGTTTAATCTGCATGCGAACGATCTAACGTTATTTCATTCTGTCTCAAAGTAATATAAGCCATTAGGGAAAAGTTTCGGGATGATAAATGCCCTATACATGCACAGTCATAATTTTAGCTAATGAAATGAGTTTAGGTCTGCCAGAAATTTTGGCACTAAATTATGGCACTATTAAAAATAGGACCGCAGAAACCAAAAAAATAGTGCAGTAGCTGAAAATGGGATCCTCGCTCCCTTTTGAAATTTACAGCGGGACACAATAACACAAGTGGTAGAAACCCAAATCCAGAAAACTGACTTGGAAATACTATTGTAAGTTATTCTACTAGACCTACGAAATCTGATTGCGAAATGCGACGAGATAAAGTAAACAGCTCCCACATCCAACAGGATATGCAGCATAGGCGCAAATCAATTGTACTAATAATGATGCCGATGGAAACCTAAAAATCAGATTAGCAGGCAGAAAATAATCCCATTTGAATTAGTATTGCATCGTGAATTTAAAAGGAAACATGGGACTTGCCTACATGCATAATTCCATGTGCGTAGGCACATGATTCTCAAATCTATAGAGTTCAAGCATTTAACGTATGACTCGTTGCAATTTTCAAGTCGAGATATGACTGAAACTCGTCACTAACCACATATAACTGAAAACTGAGCCCAAAGCAAATGTACGAGTTGATGTCCATCAATGCGTATATGTGTGCTTAATACAAATAAAAAATTCAATGTGGTCACGCTACATAAGCTGGGCACTAAGCCAAAAGTCAAATACATATACGTGAAATGTTTTTGCTCGAAGGCAGTGAATATTAAAGTAAGGGGTTGAAATCTATCACATATAACGTTTTTCAAAATAGGGGAATGAAATTATGCCTTTAAATTATGCTTTACCTGCAATGTTAGCGGAGTTAGCATGCACTAGAGTTAGTAATGCCACTTGACATTAACATCCAATGCTAAGCCAGAGTCAAGATTAACTAGGGACCAAAAAACTACACACAATCGATGTACCCAACACCGGCATGAAGCACGAGTTTGTAGGAGATCAGTGCGAGGCCTTAATCTAAATGAAATTAAAACCAAAACCTACAAGGGGGTACGCAAAGAAGGGCGAATCGCATTCATCAGAGATAACCAGAAAAGCTAAGTTTGTGAAGAATTTCAAAGAGCATCCCCTCACGTATATGAAAAACAAAATGATGGCGGAGAGTGAGATAGGTTGATATAAAGTTAATTTAAATATTAAGCCATATGTGAGTTCGTTTGCTGGAAACAATATTATAAAAACCAAATGACATACAGATTAAAGGCAGTAAAGAAAAAAGCCACCTCACACACTACAATATCTTAGATTATATTCCACCAGTGCACCTCTAAGAACTACCGTCCACAAATCTCCCAAATTCGAATCTTCAAGTGCTGGCACTGACATTGGCAAGCGGTATCGATTACTTAAAACAACGCAAGGCGAAAACATTAAAAAACTGTTTCATCAATAAGTTTTTTGTAAATACACGGGCAATTTTTGATTATATTTACAATATACTTTGCAGTTCCAGCCTAACTAAAAAGATATCATTTAAGTAAGTAAAGCGAGATCTTGTTATACTGATTACGCTCTTGTTAATGATGCTTAACAAGCATGGGTTTCAAAAGTTTGCGCTTTTACTTAATTTTTTTCTAGACGGTTAAGAAGTCAGTAAATGCAGCTGGATACATGTACTCCGAAGACGATAGGGCAAATAGGCTTGGGCATGGCCCGAAGGTCAGGCAAATCCTAAAGTTACCGCCAAACGTCAAGCAGTCAAATAAACACTGCATCGCACTGATCCTCTTTTCTTTTGAGCGATGTCCTTGGCGCTCCTTTGGTACACCTCCCGCGCCAGCCATCACAGCATATATAGTACCCCAAGAAAGCATCCACGAGCCAACTGCGCCATTCGACAGATAGCATGAGACTGAGGAACTATACTTGGTCTCCTTGGCAACTTTAACTGGGTGTGGTGTTAATTTCGGTCTGACAAATAGATTCGGGACCGCGTACACCTGCTGACCATCAATTGCTTCCAGGATTAGAAGGTGGAACTCTAATCTCAAACATATATGTTACAGAGGAATCGGGTTGAGCCACTGTCTCGTATGTAAGGAGAACCATAGTGTCATTTCCGACATTTGAACACAAATCTCATATGGGAAATTTCGACACGAAACTTTTTAGGATGTTTCACTGCCGTGTCGCTTCAGCTGTTAATAGCTTGTCTGTGGAACACGGGAATAAAGTGAAACCAAATGCAGGCGCCATTCCGAACCCTCAGTTGTGAAGGATTTAGGGATTCTCCGTCACCAAGGTAAATTCGCCTTTTAAAAAACACGTCTCTTTTCCGCCCGTATCTTCATCTATTGTACTTTGATAGAGTCAGACTTCCTCTTACGGATGTATAGCTCATGATTGCCGATGCATAACGCTTTATAATCCTAAGTTTCTTTACCTAAAAGTAAAACTCTTTACAGTCTTGTCTGCTGGTTGGATTATGAACTCGTCGAGAAAAGAGAGGTTGCGAATTTCAGCCAAGGGAACCCGATTTGGGGTGCAACAGATTATCAAGCTCATAGATACTCTCACCCAGAGCATCAACATCAAGAACAAGCGCTATATACCTCCACGTCCTGTACGATTTAAATCACTGCATCATCCGATCGAACGATTGCTCGGCGGCTTGACCGTACTGTTTTTTTCCGGAAATCAGCCCCGATGATTGGCAAAGTTTAGCAACACTAACGTATGATGTCAGTAAAACAGTGGTGTCTGCTAAACAATAGATTTTCCCGGACATTATGCCACTTGTAACAAAAGACCAACGAAGAACAAGCCACAGAGAGAAGGGCAACACTTCAGCTAGAAGTCGTTAACAACTGTTGGGTTCGCTTTCCGCTCCCACCAGGGTAGCGTGCCGAGACTTCCTAGCTGATATAAGAAGTCAGTAAGTGCAGCTGCATGTATGTTTTCGGAAGACGTCAGGGCAAGTGGGCCTGGTCATGGTCGAAGGCAGCCCACGTGTACAAGGGCCAGACAAATCTTAAAGTGACCTACAAGTACCAGGTAGTCACATAAACAAATCATTACAGCCAAAACCTAAACACGGATGTAGTAGGAGGAATTCTTACACAGAACTTTGCCAGATGGTCTACGACGGTTTCGCTTCAGTTTTGAATAGCTTGTCTGTAGAACGCGGAACATGGTGGAGCTAAACTCAAACGTTAATCTCAACCTTGTGTTGTAAGTCATTTAGAGAATCTACCACCACATTTGCAACTGCACCTCCCCCATACTGTAGGTGTGTGCCACAAATGGCAGGTAATGGGATAGAAGTAGTTAAAAATGTCGAATCCACTTTCCGCTGTCAGGAATGCAGCCTCGCGAAAATTCCCATCGAGTTGAAGAGGACAATAATTGGAGTTAAGTACAAATATTGCGAGGAAAACAAATGGATATGGCCTGAGCTTGGCTTGAAAGTGAGCCCTCGTGTACATTGGCCAGACAAATCTTAAAGTAACCGTCGGACATCAGGTGGTCATAAATAAATTATTACAGCCAGCGTGGCTTGATCGTGGGTATTTCCCTGTGATGCCGGATGTGTAGTGGTGACTGGCATTAAGGCCGTTGATGATAAGAATAAAGGCAATGTAATGCTTCATGTGATTATCTGTAAATTCGCCTTTATAAGGGGGAGGCGGGGAATCAATAGGAACTCGAACCCAGTGCGTGAGGTGACATCCGCCGGTTCATCTAGCTTCCGCAACTAAGCCTCTCCTAAAGTTCGTTGCTAATATGTCCGAGAGTTGGCGATCAGGCTCTACAGCTACTTTTGCCATCATGTTGCTCCAATGGACGAAGACTGACATTCGGATTAAGCAAAACCCAAAATATGCACTGCAGCTTGACCTAATGCCTTCCTGCACTCGGTGGGAAGTCTCAAAATGTTGCAACATTATAAGGAATGTATTTAATGGAAATCGACCGTTTTTTTCTTCTATTCTAATTGGCAAGTAGGATTTTGGCTCTTGGGAATTGATTACAAGTGTGATAGCCAACAAATGTGACTGTTGCATCAAGCAAAAAAATTATTAGACCATTTTTTGCAACATAACGTTGGTCATGGGAATTTTGAGTATTCTAAGTTAATCATTTGTTAACGAATTTGTGTTAGTTTTATTACGCTGAAAGAGGTTATTTGTGTTGGAGACCATTTGAACTACACTCGGGGTCTGTGGGTGTTGTCTTGTGGCCTCTGTCGTTGGCGTGCAGTATTGCGATGGAGGTATATAAGCTGACTGATGAAGACCGCGAGAAGCTATCCGATGTTGACAAGATGAGTGAAATCATCAACAAATTCTCTTGCTCTGATGCGAATGTGTCTGAAAAAGCACTTGAAGAAGCTGATGAGCTGTTAAAAAAGATCAGTAAGCGTAATTTCTTACACCATAATCAATTTCATTCTAGCTAAAAATGGAAGTGCGGTTAATAGAACGTTAATTAATAAGGATGTATCGAGCACATCGGTGGGTAAGTTGGGTCATTTTGTCTCACTTGCCTCTTGTGTCTGCTTCAAAAAGAAGTTTATTTCTCTTCCGTGGAGGGTTGACAAAAAACTTCCGTGCTTTGTAGGTCAGAGCGTCAATGGTTCTGGACCGGCGCAAATGTCCGTGGAGGCCTTCAAGGCGCAGGTTACTGCAGATGCTACAGAACGCTCTAGACGTCGAGCAAGGTGTCGAGCCAAAGCAGAGGAGTATAAAAAGCAAGCAAATGAGTACTTTAAAGTCGGAGATATGGAAACAGCAATTAAAATGTACACAAAAGCCATTGATGTTTGTCGAGACTGGGCTGTTCTCTACAACAATCGGGCTTTGGTAATTAGACAGGTTCTTTATTATTTATATGGTTTTCGTGACAAATCTTCACTTTTTATTGTGAGGACGTTTGTATTAAGGATGAATATGGGCTTCTTCCTTGTTTTATTTTGCTCTTTGACATTACTGCCTTTAAAACACAGTGCGTATTGTTTTGTAAAGGGAAAGTTGTCTGGACTTTCTTATTTATTTTTATGTTGGATATAGGCCTATCTCCGTGCAGGTCGTCCGGAGCTTGCATTATCGGACTGCGATTTGGCACTCCGTCTTCTCCCAGCGGAACCAAAAACCACTCCCACAGAAATCGGTGAGGAAGCGGATGCAGCTCGAGACACAAACCAACAAGCAGCAAAGGCCTGTCTCCGTCGTGGCAAAGCCCTTCTTGTGTTACGTAGACCGCGTGATGCCTTAAGTGCATATGTCGATGCAAGAGCCTTTAACGCCTTTGCACACCACCCTGCAACTGCGGTCATGCCTGAATTTGATTCAGACGTGTGGCCATCCTTTTTGCGCGAGGGCGTTGCTCAAGTCAAAGCCGCTATCGCCGCCGATAGCCTAGATTCCCAATCATCAGTTCAACTCTCTCCTTCCGACAATGACAAACCTATGCTTCTCAAGGCGACAGAGTGAGCACATTTTTTCAATAAAATTTCCTTAAGTAACTTGTTTGATGGCTTTCTGTGATTCAAGGGAGCGCTTCCTCCGCTTGATAACTGAGGCTGCCGTGTTTGGTCGTCAGTTGCGTCACTACACTTCGGCTCTGCGCCAGATAGCAGCGCTGTTGAGTGCTGCGAGTGTAGCTGCTAACCTCCCTCCAACTAAGAATCTAACAGAGGGTGGGGAAGAAGCAGCAAAAGGAACGGAGGTTGTGACCTCTCCCAATGGGGACCAAACGGGTCCAGAACGTGATGAATGTCACCGAAAAGGAGGGGGAAGAGAGTATGCAAAGGCTGTGTCGCTGAGGGATGGAGATGCCGTTGAGACAGATATCGATGAGATAGCCACACTGGCAAAGCTGCAGTCCTACTTCAGAGTTAGAAATGGTTTCGCTATGCTGGAGTCGCAGATGAAGGTAAGGTTCTCATCCGAACTTCAGCTATTGCAATTACTTGTTATGAGATCGTTTAATAGGATTGCCAATAGGCACATGCCTTGCCTGTGCATTTTGGACTCGATAACTGCGTGACTTATCGTTGATCACATCACAGCTACTCCAGTTCTGCATTTCAGGTTCAAACATGTGTTTGTTTGTAAATTTCTAAAACGTTGAATTTCCGAAAATTTTGCTAGTGGCTAATTTATTTTGAATAATTGCATCTCGATTTTATCATAGTACTCTATTTTGAATTGCTGGATTTTTTAAATAAATTCCTTAACTTAGTGATTAAGCTATTGCATTGCTTCTGGATTCCTCCGCCTCTATCTCTATTATTTGCAATGAATACTTTAGTACTTTATACACATTTGTTCTCAAATGCTTCTTACTCGATGCTTGTGAGATTAGACGTCTCGTTCCTGTTCGCCAACTTTCTCTGGACTTTTGAGTGTATTCGAGCTAATAGACCGGTGCGGATGACAACTACTTCCCATCAATCACGTGCCTTGCTTGTTACAAACAACTCTATCCATAGCTTATTCCTTCTCGTACTGTGTGTAATTCCCATTTCAGCGTTTTGATGCTTCTGGTATAGTGAAGCTATTCCGCCGACCAGATGGCGCTGCTACTGAAAGTCCATCAAACCACAGTGCGGAGGACATTTTAGCCATACTGGATCACCTGTTGAGCCTCATCACCGTATGCTACCAACTCTCTCGTGATTGCGGCGAAAATCAGCGTCTTTTGGTGGAAACTATGCCACAGCTCTTCTCCACCCTCCTAATTGACTGTCTCAAGGTTTCACCCTCGTATGCGAGACTTCCCATCTCATCTACTACGGCACCTGGGTGAGTGTTTCACCCGATAAAGCAGGGATATGGGAATTCTCGTTTTTCTCTCTGTAGCATAATGCGAAAGTAACTTATTGTGAAATCAATTGACTTTTGGCACGTGTAACCTCCTGCCAAGTCAATTTTGAAAATATTTTTAAATCCGTCTAATAGGAGTATCGTAGGGCTACTTTTAGGTTCCGACATCGTAGACTTTCGATGACTCTCAAATGCGATCGAAGGGTAGCTAATTGAACTTAACCTTGTCCTTTTAAAGTGAGCTCCCATTTACGCTAGCTTGTATTGTTGTTGTCGTTAGTTGAAATTCCTGTTTAGATAAACTTATTTTCTGTTTATCTTCTATTTATTTGAGGCTTAGTTTTTCAAGCTAAATGCAATGTTTCTGCTTTCCATGACCCAATAACGAGTAAACTTACTTTCTTTGCGGTCTCACAAAAAAACCATCACTAGAGCCAGTATTTTTGGATGTTGTAGACTAAGGGTATGGTAAGAAGATTAAATGGATATATCCATGTCGTATGAGTCACGGTCAAATGCCATTGGTACTGTGAAATCAGGATGTTTTTGGCACTAGGTAGGTACACCATGTTAATTATTTTGTAATACTTGATCGTTCAGTCCAGCTGCATTCGCGACCTCCATGTCGCGAGTTTGGTATTATCAGCGATAACAACAGAGGTTAGTATGATAATTGGGTGAGAAACCTAGTCGAGATTGAGCTGTAAAAGTCGGTATTAATGTATTGAAATGAGCGTGTATTCCACTCATCATCTGACAATCCAACTACCGTCACCACTTTTATCGTAGGACTGCTGCCAGACAAGAACTGCAATTACATCACCTCCTGGGTCTGCTTCAATGTTCTGCCTGTGACCTTATTGCATTAATGTCTTGCGAGGCCAGTGGTCGCGAGGGTCTGCTCACTTATCCAGGACCTGCCGTCCTCCTTTCCGCTCTCGCGACTTGCCTCTCCGATGCCCTCGGGGTACCTCCTGCCATTCCTGCCCCCGGGCTCTCTTTTTACCCACCTCCGAAAACGCGGACTACTTCAGTTCATCAACGTTCCCTTGCCGACTGCTTTGCCACGCAGACTGTAGCGGCTGCTGCAAAGATTCTTGAAAATATCGCCAAGAGCCCGCGTTTCTTGGTTGGTTCAAAAGATAATTCTCTTTGTGAAAGGTTGTTTACCAAACGGATGCCTTAATTTCGAATTGCTAGTTTCCTAGATCGCATAACTTGCCTTTTATCACTTCATTTTAATTACTCTTTCCTTTATGTTGAATATTCGAAGTCATTGCTATTAAATACAATTTGCTGCGATTTATCTCATAGATGACTTACGAAGGATGAAGGGTGTTCTGCCAGAACATTGTTAATTTCTCTCGTTTTCTGATAAATCCAGTATCCTTTTTATGTTGTTAAAGTGAAGAAAGCTTTACTTCTCGTGTTGTCAAATAGTAAATGGAGTCAGAGTCGAATGAACTGCTTAGTGGACCTGCTTGTAACTTTTCTACCCTTTTTGCAGCAGTTATAAAACTTCAGTCTGGAAGTATTGCCATTATCGACTTACGGAGCTTAGAATTTTGTGGTTTTCAATGTTTGCGATGGTGTTAGCACGGGAGTCAAATTGTAGCTAATTAAAAGGAACGTTGTTAAACGTCTAATCCGTCTGGCAGTTTACAGATACTCAATTTTACTAGTTAACTTCACGAAAATTGGTAAGTTCTTACAGCTTTAAGTATCAGTTATTTGCTACCTACGTGAATCTCATGCCATCTTCTCTTGTTACTTCGACTAATTTGTAGGTTGTCCAACATTTATGCCACCTACTTTTACTAGCATTTATATTCTACGTTCCTATTTAATCGGTAAGGCGTGTGGCTTGATTCATCAAGCAGAAAATGTCAAGAAATTATCTACTTATTTATTTTACAAAGGGCTCTCTGTAGGTCTCCCAAGGTCAGCTATTTTGCCAGTCTGAGTGGCTACTTCTGATGACTTCTAGTTGGTATAGTTCTGTAGACCATGTACCCTTCGTGAAGACTCGCATTATCCTCTTATGGCAGATCATGTGAAATTGACTGTTATTTTTGTGTCGTCGCCTTGAGGTGTATGCGTGCATGCACAAGAAGGAGCACGAACTCATTGAATGCCTATAACCAATGATATACCGCACTAGCCAATAAGTTAGTTATCCATTTAACCAGTACGACTACGGGACATTAAACTCTATAATGGAAGCTAATGTGTGGTCTTCGTCTTTCAAGGCGTTTGCTTCCTCCATGCAGCCTTTGTACCTCTTCAGGGTTTAAGTAGTCCTGTGGTTAGACCGTCGAAATGCCACAAAGAAGGGTCTATTTGACTCCTCTTTGTGGCATTTACTTCTTTAGACGCAGTCAATTTTTGCGGTTTAGTACCTCAGCAATTTACTGCCATTTGAAAAGTCCTCGTTGACTAAGTTCAGTTTCTTTTCGAATGTTGCTTGAAAACAGTTTTGGTGCAATGATCTAGGGACAGTATTGTGAATTCTTTCCCGCAAATTAGGACAAATATGTCTTCAGTCTTGTGAATAACCCCTCGATGCAACACTCAAGTTTTCATCACGGTATTCTAACCGTTGTTGTAGTGTTCGGAGTTCAGGCTCTCTTTTAAAAAAGATATACTCGGCAGGCTAGTTTTCTGTGGCTTCGTTTTGCCACCTATTGAAACTACCACTTTACTTTCTCTCCATAGATCATGGTTCGTTCGTCAGATTGTTTTACTAGCGTTCAAAATGTTATTGAAGCTGCTATCGCTCCCGCTCCCGGCAATGGAAGTTCCACTACCGCCACATCCGCCCCCGTCACGTGTCTTTCACTCCTTCTCGACAGTCTCTCAGCAGCTTCGGATGACTCCATACTGCGCCGCACCATGATCACCAAACCCAACTTTCTCATTAATCTTGCCAATTGTGCCATCCGACATGTTCCTCTCATGGTGGATGAAAGGTGTACTATTTTTCCCTTTCTTATTTTTAGTCATGCATTTTCTTCATTTAATTTTTGCTCCTAGTCACACGGCGTTGGTGGGCTCTCTGTGTCGCCTTCTTCACAACTTTCTTTCTGGTGAACTACACATAAAACTCTCGCGTACAGAAATGGAAGCACTGCTTACTCTCGTCGGTGATATTCTCGATACACCTTCGCACAGCTCTGCACTGATCTCTGTCTCCATTGCCCTCCTTGGTCGCTTCATGCCTCTCTGTACTGCTGATTTGGTTGGTCTTAGAATTATTTGACATTTGACACTTCGGGTTGCTCCATTGTTAATAGTAACAGGACTAGTTTCTTCTAAATTCAAGATGTTATCTCTATCGGCTTTGCTTCATCAATATCCTCGCTATTTTTTTAAGTTGGAGAATAGTCTTTTGAGTAATTGACAACTGGAGCCCTCAAAGTTCAAGAAATGTTTGTATACTCTTCATTGCAGGTTGAGAAATGGAGTCACTCTGGTAGGGATGCACCAGATTTGCCTAATAAGAAGTCATCTTCTTCCATTCCTCGGTTGAAGGAAAGAATTAAAGTTCTCATTTCAATTGTATGCTCATGGTGAGTATCATAACTCGATGGCAACATTTCGCCACTTACAACACAGTTTATTTAGTGAGCAACGTCCTAAGATCAGTAATGCTTTTATTGAAGAATTCTAGCCTTCTCTTTTTGGAGTGTGGATTTTATGATGCATTGTTATAAATGTTATAAGGGTACATCGAAGCCATTAGTGATTAGTAGGTACTGTAGCTCTGAAGTCATTATCAACTACTTAGATTGTTATAAGTGGAGAAGTCGAGAGGATGCTGGCTTAGATGACTGTAAATCGAACGTGGAGACTGAAAACGGATATGTATACTAAATGTAGACATTTAATAGGTGCTTCTCGATCGTAGGTATTGTCCTTGATGTTCATTGTGGTCTCTTTCATCGTAAGATATTCACGTGTAATAAGTCATTACTAAAGTGAGAACTATGATCTTTCGAGGAATTGTCATCGAGTCAATACTGATGGTAGTGGTACATTTCGCAATCTTTCGGCATAGTCATAGGGTGAGAATTATGTTCTATGACGAGCGAGCTTTGTGCATCACTCAAATTTTTACTGCAGTTTAACAATACTGGTCACAATGAATTCGCTTTTGTGGATCTTAAAACCCATTTGCCTGCTTCGTGCCTATGCCTTTAACTCTAATTCCATTTATTCTAATTGACCTCATTTCGGCTTTCCACCTAGTTCTACCTCGACGTTGGAGAGGGCTTCTCCTCCCCTCACTTCAAGCACTGTAAACGGCACCACAAAGGTGTACGAGTCCACAGAGAGTCTGACGGGTCATCGACTTCGTGGCGCAATTCGGGCACTCTCCACCATCACGCGGGCTCCGGGATGCGGGGACGTGCGCATAGCCATCGGGGATGATCGACTCGTTGCCCGCAAAGTTGCTCTCTTGGTGCGCGCCCGCGCTCCACCCACTACCGAGGCAGAGGGGCGTTCCCCACTCTACGATGAACCCTTGGCTGCCAACGCTTGCCTCATCCTGGAGGCATGTGTGGATGACACGGTGCTGGCAGAGAATCTTATTGGCACTACAATCATCATGGATCTACTTAAACTTACTCGAGTAAGCATCTTAGTGATTTTGATGGTTTTAGTTTTTTTCTGGGGAGAGAATTCCATTGTGTAGATCTGCCCGTAACTACTACCGTGATAGGTCATTCAGATACTGGCGCCCACCAGATGCTGCACATTACCTCCATCCTCTGGCATAGGTTCTTCAACATCTCATTACTGTTTGCTCCTTATGGCCTTTCATGTGAAAGTAGTGTTGAAGACGGCAGAGGACTTACTTTCAATGCATGTATCCTAAATTGTGTACAAGTAGGGTTTGTGCACCACGGTGAGTCAGTAATACACTGCTATCCATCGATTCCTTTTGAAGGAGGCAAAGAAACCTCAGACAAAGCGCAACGCCAGCTGCGTAATTGCACGCCTGTCTCTGGCGAGCCATGTGCACCGCGAGGAGATGTCTCGTCTGGATGCGATGTCGCAGTTGGCGCGATTCAACTCGTGGAATGTCGATACTGCGGAGCGTGAACCGGGCATGCTGTTCTAATCATCATTGCTATCACAGCCATCTTACTCTCCGAGCCCACCGTTTCAATGTTAAATCCATGTATTTTCATCTATTTATTCTCCTGTTTTGCTCCTACTTAAGAAAGTTGAGGTTTGATAACCAGGTTGCAGCGTCCTCCCACAAACTTTTGCGGGGCCGTCTTGATCTTGCGAAGTGCTTGCTGTTTTTTTATGTTCTATTCATGTGCAGAGGCTCGGGTAGGAATTGATTTTTAGGATTTAAGCACCTACGAATGTCTCAGTGGTCATCGTTGCAGTTGGAACTCCTGCGGGAAATGACGATGAGGTTGGAGCGTTGGACTCGAGCGTTCGAGTAGGTGATGAATGCCATTGGGGAGAGGTAGTTCTACTTGTGGAAACGGGATGTAGTTTGATGCATGGGGGTATCAAATGTGAGTTTTAGTGCCTCGTCCGTTGCCATAAGGCTTTGCAGTGCGGCGTACGCCACTTGTGCTATCAAGTAGTCTCGACAACTGAGTCTATATGCTTTCAGGGTCTCTATTACTTCTCCAGATCTGTGTAGTTTGCACGATGATTGGAAAGCATATTTCGATTGAATGCTGGAACTACGAGTTAGAGTAAGTGTTCAAGGTACCACAATGCCAATTGCATAGTTGCTTAAGCCTTTTCATTAATGGGACTCCATTTTCCAAATGCAATTGCATTAAGCTCAAACAAACACAGGATGATATTTGTTTGATTAGCTGCCACCTGAAGAAACATGTGTTCTGGATTGCCATTATGCATCTGGTGGTCAGGTTTTGCCATATGAAGAAGATTTAAGGGGCACACGGCTAGAGTAGATCAGTTGTGGAATCGAATTTTGTCATTGGGTTAAAAGACGCAGTTTTAGGCAAGTAGTTTAGTCTAACAAATCATGAAGACAGCAGCTTGCTACAATTATCATGCAAAGCTTTAGTTCCTCTTTCTCCAGCTGGCATATTCTAAGGACTTTCATGTATGAGTTAAAACAGCGCATATAGGATGTGTGGGGAAGTTGGGCGATGGCTAAATGTTTTGCAAAGCTCATCGTTCGATTAAGTAGACAAGTAATCCTCGTAATGTCTGATTCCTAGGTATGCTGGTTGTCTTGCAGTCCTTTTGCATGTTAGCAAAAAATGACGATGACACCAAACCTTATGTAGCTGGAACCCTTAACGGCACCTATGTAAAGATGTCAATAAGGTTGCAAAGTGATAAGTCCATCGTTTACACATCTGGCTGAAACCCAGATAGTAAGTAAATGAACAGCACCAGATTAATTAAAAGTAGCGATGATGAGTTAGAGCGAAATTACAGCCTTGCATAAAATGTCTAGGCTTTGGGGTAGTGTCTTAGAGACTATGATGAACATACAAAAGGACACCATTGCGGGGCACTACCAAGTTACTGTCAGTGGAAGGACATTGAATTTCTACTTTCATAATGTGATTTCATAATGCAAAAAAGACACCTAGTCCGAGGTTCAGCTACATAAGGGTATACAGGCAGACTCTACAGCCTGTAGTGTCCCACGACTTCCCATAGGGTAAACGAAGGTAGTGAGTGAGGCTGGATACATGTATTCCGAAGGGAACAGAGCAAATGGATCTGAGCATGGCTCGAAGGCCAGCCTACGTGTACATGAGCCAGAAAGTCCTAAAGTAACCTCATAACGCCATGTGGTCACATAAACAAGGCATTACACAGCCTTTTACCTACTTGTGTGTCTTCAGCTTTCACGCACACCAGCAACAATTGAGAAGTGCCGTGGTGTATCGGACTTGAGACGCCTTGCACCTACCAATAACCTGCGGTGAGGGCAACTGCACGAATTAATGTCCATGCTTGCCCAAACTTGATCAAGATCAAGCGCTTTTTGGCGAAATTCAGAACCATATATGCAATCTGTTACAATTTCTAGTTTCAGCGCAATTTTATAAATAAATACGATTCTTAGATGTTTTATAATTACGAATAAAATTGTGCTGAACGATATCCACATTCCTGTAATGTATACGGCCTTGGATTCGTGATCTTTCTAGGTCGATGATGTTCTAACCTGAATATTCACGTGCGAGCCGCTCTTGCTATCCTCTCGAGATGGTTTGTCCATTGTCATGACATTTTCTCCTATAAGGTTGAACCTATGGACACGAGTGGAAATAATTTAGAAGTCAGCAATGAGAATGAAGACAAGTTGAGAGAACTTAAATCCAAAACTATTCGAATTGATGTTGCTCCAGACCAACAGTGCTATTGGTATGCATTCTTTTAGCTCTTTATGCATAACTCAGTGGTAAACCTCGTGACTACTCTGTCCCAGAATTTCAGTGCAGCTTCTGCTATCGGTGGTTTCACCATCAATGCATCAGCTTCGACATTGGGTAAGGCGTTACATCAGTGATTTAATCGCTCAGTCCCTCTTTACCATTCATGACAGCCTATCACTTTATGTGCAAAAAGTGCAATAACTCATCTGAAGAGGTGTTTTCGAAAAAACAAGCCAATTTCGCTAGTATGTGTCAAACGACACTTGCAAACCTGATGTGCATTCATAATGGACGCATTTACTTCTCCGAAGAAAAAGAAATTATACCCTATCTCGAACAGAATTGGGAGCTCTTGACTTCCCAACCTCGTCGAACTAACAATTCTTGGCATACAAATATACACAAAACACTCGTACACACTTGTTTTTCTGTTCAGTATACTGTTCTAGGTCAGCAGTGAACTTTTCAATGTTGTCGATTTAGAACCCCAACACGCGGTTTGTCTATCCTGTCAGGTAAGATCATCTCTAACGAATAATCTTCTTCAGCATTATTACGCTAGTAGTCCACATAATAATGGTACCCTTTAGTGATGTTGATGAATCCATTCTTTAACAAAGAAAGTGAATTTCACTGTGTGGATAGCTTATCCCGGTTTATCATTGCATAGTCGAACAAATAGAAACGATTTATTGCTTTAAAATGCGTTTCTGCTCTGCTTTCCACCTGCTTTTGCTTTCTTTACTACGGATACTAGGACGTAAGCACTATTGGTCCCAGTTACGAGCGTTTCCGCGCTCTCACTAGTCAACTGAAGACCAGCGTTAGTAAACGTAACGCTCATCCTTCCACTGGCCAACAGGCCGATCTAGTCGGCGGTGGCGATGGTTTGTCTACAACTGGCGACGCCTCGGAAGGTGGAATAGGCAAGTCTCTGCGCAAGGGTGGTCAGGTGTGCAGCGGCAGTACCTCCGTCGGTGCCTCTGGTGCTGGCGGCTGTGTTACTGGAGGAAATGTCCGCTCCACGCGACGCTCTACTGCGGCAGCTGTAGCTTCTGCTGGTCTCGGCGCTAACTCCTACGGAATTGGGTGTCATGAGGATAGTAAGGCCAAAATTAGCGAATTTGGGATTCCTTTAGACCATCCGGTGAACACGGAAAACTACAGGTAGGAGTGTTTGGTTATTTGACCAGTAGTAGTAGTAGTATTAACATGGATGTTTTGTTTTCGACTATAACTGAATTAGTTTGATAATGAATACTAGTTGGACAATCTACCGAAAGTAGGGCTACGAACTTTATTGTGTCTTTCCTCTTCCAAAAACGACTTCCAGACCTTATCCTGTAGTTTAGCTTATAGCCCTCGTGATCATGGTTAGAGTCATCTCTTCGAAAATTCTTGGGGGACATGGTAGAATATTGCACTCGCACTTCTTTGTTAATCGTCTACAGTGGGTATGCTAGTGGTTGGCATATTGAACCTGGCATCCCTGTCTCACTAGCATCATAGAGTTAACAGCCTGCAACTACTCGGCCTTTTTAACGAAGATACGCTCTAGTGGAGGTGGATCCTCACGCGAAGGGTCGAAAACAGTGGGATGAATGTGAAAATACAGCAGGAAAGCCGATTCCAGGCTACTTCTACCGTGTTTGCCTCTACCCAAAAGTTGTCCTCTCTCTCCACGATCGAGGTATTTCTTTCATTTATATGCGTTCTACTTTTAAAGACTTAGTAACAAATTTATGCTGTTTTCACCATATCGCCAACGTTTAAACATCTCTAATCTACTTATTCACTAGTTTTGAGTCGTCGTCAATGTCATTTTGTCGGTTTCTCAGCACAACAGATGAAGGTGCAGGACTCACAGACTTCGGTAACAGGTGAGAAAGGCTACAGTATGACACGAGCGACGCACAGCGTGCACACCGGCACGTGGTACTATGAGGCCACTATCACTGATCATCCCGAGGGTTCTGCTACACGAATCGGGTGGTCACAGCTTATGGGTTAGTTGTCCACCATTTCTCCCCAATTTGTCTTCCTTTGTTGCTCCCTTTTTCACTTGAACTGAGGCTGAAGATTTTGTCAGGTAGATTTGTTGAAAACAACGAAGCGAAAACGATAGTTCTAAAGTATGTAAGTTTTGGGTCCTTAAGACGTTTAGCGTTTCTACTCACGCAAGCATGCCATTATTTATCATAATATTGCTTTCTTCAACTCCTTTAACAGTAAAAGATTCACAGAATCAAAAAACTAAACTCTTAAGTGCACTATTCAGGTAATCTACAGGCACCCTGTGGCTACGACAAATTCAGCTATTCCTGGCGATCACGTCTGGGCACGGTTTTCCATAATTCTCGGGGCAAGCACTACGCAGAGTCGGGCTACACCAAAGGTGATGTAATTGGTTGCCTCATCCATTTACCAAAAGTAGCCTCTGCTGACATGATTCCCTCCACCTCCGGCGTCCACGCTCCTCCTCCCGGTCCCGTTAAATACAACAAATCAGGAGCAAGAAGCGAATTTGTTCGTACAAAATCCTTGATGGAAGCGCCGCTGATTAACTATCTTCCGGAGACCTACAAAGATCGGGTACTTATTCCCTTTTTTTAATTTTTAAACAAATTGTCCCACGTATGCAGGGGCAAGATGTTATAGAATAGAAACGTAGAGGAGGATCGAGAGTCTAGTTGCTTCAGAATCAACCACCATGTAGAGCTCAGGAGCTTGTTTCTGATGGTCTTCCTTCGTGAATAGTTTTCTTGTAGCGTTTGTGCCCGGCATTTATGTAGGGAATCCGGAGTTGTTCTCCCATTGGATACTCATCGAACCCGTCATTGCTTTGGCACTTAAATCATTCATGAAGACGTTGGTAAGCTTGAAATCATGAATGAGGGAATGCGAGATAGGCGAATTAGATATAATGCACATGGTTATTGCTACCATCTTGTAGCTTGAACCATAGTTGGTAAGTGATGTTGAGACAAGAATAAAGCTGGCATTGAGAAGTTGCATTGTGTTGCTCACAGTGCTTGATTCGTTGGTGGTAGTGCACGAGTTTCAAAAAGAACTGCATTTCTGTTAAAACTGAATAATTCATTATTGAAGGCTGATCAATGCACGGTGGCCAAGTTCTATACATCAGTCGCTCATTATATGGAAAATAGTCAAAGTATGTCCTTCCAGGCATCGTGTCCTTATAATGCGGTTATGAATCTGCATGTTCCTGGAAAAGCATAAATAGCTTCCTTAAGCCTTTTCGATTTATTCACAACTCAAAATCCGATCAGTTTTTACATATCGTCATCATTGCACTAGTCCCTTTTTGTGCACTTATTTGAACCAAGATTTTCGTGGAAGTTGATCTCCTTTCCCCTACGGCTTTTCACTGTAATGTTGTCATTATCCTTTTAGTTTAATTACAGCCACCATCAATGAGGTGCCTGAGTCATCTCTAAAACCCCAACAATTCGCATCACTTTTGTAAATGGTTCTGTATGCACGTAAACGGGGAGAGGCTAGTAGTAGCACGTGGTGTGGGCAAGTCTTGACACCATCTATGCCAAAGTACGGACGGACATCAGGACCTCGAACGGTTAATTATACCGCTTAACCGAACGTAGTTCTACTGCAAATTAGGTAGCTCTTAAATATCTAGCAGCTCTACAACTGTGAAGAAATAGTTGGCTATTCCATTAGCTGGTCTCCAAAATTTTTAGCATTTCTTGTAGACTATGGTTTGTTTCAATGTTTTGTAGCCCCTGATCAAGTTTCGCAACTACTATTACTTCGAAGAGAAGGGGGATCCACAGGCGTTGGAGAAACAGCTGCAGCCATTACCTCAAAGCAAGGTAATTTCCATCCTTTTTTAATTCAGTCGCTTTTTTCCCAGCGAGGCCACTTGCGAAAGGCTTCAGCAAAGCATGTTGGATTCATCGAGTTCTGAAGTTTGGAGAAAATCCGTTACATGTAAAAATTTATTGATTGCTTAACGTTACTTTAAATGCCCGCCCTGATTGCATGTGTATGTCATTTTGGGCATCGGTCTGCCATTTATGGCACTGTATATGAGATTGGATCAAAAGCAGGTCGTATTCCCAAGCTTGTGTTTGTGATCCCTGTTGGAAAGCCGTTCAGTTTTGCGCCATTACTTATCATTACTAATTTGGCACTCGTTGAATCTTTTCCAATTAGTAATTTACTTACTCTGGTTGCATAGGCATATTTTCGGATGAACATTTCTGGCTGCTGTATGTTTTCAGCAGTGCCCTAAGGCACCTCTGAATCGGCGACAAGTCATACCACTGTGGAATAGTGGGATAGATAGCTGCTGCATTAGAGGCATACCTATGCTACTAGGGTGATAATTAGAATCCAAAGACACTAGAGAGGCCACGAAGTCAGGTAGGCGCTCGGACTAATGTCCCTTCATCATTTCTGTAGATTGTCTTTTACCGCAATGGTGAATGTCTTGGCGTGGCCTTCCGAGATATTTACGCGGGTGCTTATTATCCGGCAATTTCCATCTATAAATCGGCTACAGTTTCTGTCAATTTCGGTCCAGACTTCAAGTATCCTCCTCAAGAGCCGGAAAACTGGTTACCGGTGCGTTTTGCACTCTGCTTTCATGCGTGAACTTGCGCTTTTTTACTCGTGGTGACATGTAGAGCACATTAGCAACAGTACAAAATGTCTATTTATCTTTGGATTTGAATCGCAACCGGTTACTGGAAGGTGCTCGATTTCTTCTACATATTTGGTTCACTTTTGATAGTTATGCCACAAGTGCTGCACTTCGTGTGTGTCTTTGATGTTATTGTTACTTTTAGCTGATCCCAATCTATTATTCTCGGATCATGCATATCAAGCGAAGGCGTTTTAGCTGCCCTTGACACTTATCCTTGACAAATATGTAATTTGTAGCTTTTAAACACAATTTAAAAGTACAAAGCAATTTTTTATGCGCAGAAAATTAGTGAGATATTGGCACCATAATTTTGCTTTCCATTGACTAGATGTCAGCACGACGTGAAAGCGCGGAGATTGAGCAAGCAATGGCAGACATGATGTACCTCCTGGCAAACGATAGACTCATTGAACATCTCATGAAGGAGTGCAACAGCCAAGCTGTCGTTAAGTGAAGTCGTTGTAGACTTTCTGCGAAAAACGTGTTCTCCCTGATACGCCCTTCCAGTTTGTGGCATTGTTTCCATGTATTATCTTTTCTACTCACCTCGGTGTCGGCGATTAAAGTTGTGTACTTACTATGGTTTAATTTTTTCATTTTTGTTGTGTACTTTAAGGGACATCGATATTGGAATGATGCACGCCGTAGTTGAGACTGAAGGTTTCTCCGTGGCAGTTTGTTAGCTTGGGTATATTGTGGGTTTCAATTTTACGAAGATTACAAGGACATTCTCATTTGTAAAGATCAAGAAAATTTCGGGAGAATTCAATTTTCAATGTTTTGGAGGTGGTCTTGCCAAAGCAGAGTCCTTTGTCAATGTTGGTCAATTACAGAGGAGTAATGGGTTTTGGGTTTTGGCTCAAGCATTAGTTGGTAACAGTTGTGTGTGGCGGCATTAATTGTGCAACTTTCGCCATTATAAGTGAAATTTTTTTAATTTGGAGACTTTTTCTTCTTCCTTTATGAGGAAGTTAGGGGTTGCTAAGAGTAAAATGTTATTAAAATCCCCACAACTGAAATGGAGATTTCTATGCTCGCCCAGACTCAGGCGAGTTAAGGGAGATTTACTGGTATTGTAAACATAGTTTTGAGCAACGAACATTCTCAGCTTTCGGTAATTACTTAATTAATTAAACTTTTCAATATGATCTACAAGTTAAGTCAAACGTAATTATGCAATAGGGCAAAGATGGGATTTCAATATTTATAAAAGGATGTAATAAAATACCGCCTAGCACCTTTGACTTAAGCTGAGGGCAACAGTGAGCCATCCATGTTTTGCGGTTCGTAGGTAGAAGTGGAGCCCAGTTAAGGTGTGTGGCATTTTGACGTAAATCCACGCACAAAGTGAGGATTGGCGTACCGAGCTCCCACAGAAAGCGAAAAATGACATAATGCTGGGGTGGAGTATGCATCGCCAAAGTACAAAAGCACAGGCTAGAGTCTTAACTGCTTGTAAAACCAGAAACAAGTAAGCAAAGCATTATTCTGCCTTGCTTTTTAAGTGCTGTCTCTGACATTCACCTAGGTCACCCATCAAAGTCATCAAATTCGGGTGCGATTGAGGAATTGTCTGAATTTGATGACACCTATCTCTTCTGACAACCCCAAGAGATCTAAAGTTTTAATCTTTTTTGGAACTGTTACGGGGTCATCACACGTACCCATCGCCAGTTGTAGGACCGCTAGCCCAAAAAATGAGATAATGTTTTGCATCTCTTTCTTATCCATGTTTAAAATTTATTGTAGCCCAATGGTGTGCCTGTCTACCAGAGGGACAGGCACCTTTGCAACGACAAGGAGTAGCTAACATTAAGCGCGCCATTTGAGTTTACTGTGGTTAGCTTGGATGTATATATTTTTGAAAAGCTTTTAAGTAACTGTAACATTATGTGACTACATAGATGTCTAGTGGATGCTTTGCTATTCATTTTGCTGTTGTAGGAGTGGACCGGCCTTTGGACCAAGCTAAAGTCCAATCCCCTTTTCTCTTCCTAGAAAACATATATTCTGCCCAACTTACTATCTTCTGCCACCTAGTGAAAAGTCTTGGGACGCTACGGCAGCATCCTCTATGGATGGTGTGACTCTTATTTGCTGTATCGCTGTTTTGTATCCCTGTGATTTTAATTCCTTTCTCCTTTTCTTTGTTTTTTTTTATATAGCCAAACTCGATTTTCAAATTACCTCCAATAAGCCATCTGAATTTATTGTTTCATACGAGTAAAATCCATTTACATTTTCACTTCTCTGTGAGCGTTGTGCTGTTTACCCGAAAACGATGCCTGTTGCGTAAGCGCTAAACAGGAGGAAACTCATTTTTGTGGGCTTGGTTCGGTGCTTAGATGGCAGATGGTGTGAAGTTTGCCACCATCTGGAGGAGTTTACCTCCACTACATTCCACTACTCCACATCGGCACCCAACAGACCAGTCCATCTCTCTCCGGCACTCGATCTTTAGCCCGCATTAAACAAGCGACATTTGGGCTAGTCGAAGAAAGGAGAAAATCATTAGCATAGGACGCAGGCAGAGAAGGGAACGTAGAAGCTGAGCACATTGAAAAGTTAATCTTACCTTCTATAGTTATAAAATATTTTAGGTAAGTTGATGTTGTTAATGAGAACGGTTGGCTTGTTTAGAACATTCGCAGGTAATGGGGATGCCTAGAACAAATATCGTACTTTGTCAAAAGAGATGCTGAGTAGCTTTTTGTGGAAACCACTTCTCATTACTTCACTTCGTGACAAATCATCTACTTCTACTTAACTATAAAAAAGGCCATGTTCTTGTCATCACCGATATATGTATGCATGCCTCACTAACAAAAATAAAGGAGAACTGAACTGCTGACACTATTTAACTTTCCATGACAGCTTACAAGGCAACTCGTTGAGAACAAAAAATCGGAGAATCCACTGGCAGTACTGAGGGCCGAGACATACCATCACCAAATGATTGTTTCAAATGCACACTAAAATAGTTGATTCATTATATTCTCTTGGGTCGGGCCTTTTTGACTTACTGGCTTCATTTAAACCATTGAAAGCGCACTTGATCACAAGTTTTCAGCAGAAAAGTAGAGAATCGACGGTATAACTTTTTATTTTACTCACTATTGGGACTAAATTTTGTGCAATAATGATGACACATTGTAATCAACCACACAGCTAGGAAGCATAAATCCATTAACAATTACAAGCCGGACCTTTGGAACTCGATTGCACTTGAAAATGCTAAAATAGGCATCGAAATCGGTTTCAACGAAGGCATGAGAAGTGCATTAAAATTTACTTAAAACAAATACTTTACACCCAGTCCATAAGCAAAAGAGACAACGTCTGGTAACACTTTCATTTCACGAAATCGAGTCAGACGGCTAATGCATTACTTGTACACACTGCGTACTAAAGTAGTGCACTGACCAACGCAACCCATGTTTGTAGCACTTTCTTGAAATTCAAGTAAAGCATGGTATCCTAATCGAAAGCCACCAAAAGTTGAACTCGACTTTAAAAGTAAGCTGGCACTTGTGACCGATTATCGGAGGCCAAGGTTGAGAGAGAAAATTTTGCTTGAAGTCTACCTCAGCAAATCATCTGTCCATCAGCTCAATAAAGTTGACAATCGAGAATATCATTGTTGTAATTGTAGCACTTCAAACCAAAAAAATAAATGAGTTGACATTCAACAAGTAAATTCGGTGACTATCTTGATGGCGAAAAACTCGTCATGTTAATGTAGATCTGTTTGTATGAAGACGATAAATCCTAAAAACATTCTGATACAAAGCTTTCCTTTAGATCAGATCACTTAGGTAGATCTTGTGTCATTCCAATCCCCACCTGTCAATGTTCAGAATATTCACTACCGACACAAAGCTCCATCAGACCCATAAAAGCACTTTTCCAATCACTGCCCTATTCCAAACTTCTTTCTAAAAATGCTTAAGCTACCAGACTGGTGGTAAAATATTGCGTTTGTTTGTTTAAGGAACATTAATTTCCTCTCCTACGCACCGTCTAATTCACTATCCCATCTTTTACTGATGAATTGCCTTAATTGACAGGGCTCTGTACTTGCACGTAACGCAGCACAGAGCTCGCCTTACTACGTGCCTTTCCAAAAGCTTGCTGATTACATAGGTATTTTAAATTTTGTCCTCTAATTAGCAAAATTTTTGCTTTATTTCGTCAGGGTTACGTGTTTGAACGGTCTCAAATGAAGAAGAGAAACACCGAATCTGCAAAAGTTTAACCATCACTTGTGAAGATTATTGCACTATCAAGTTAATTATTTAGGTTAAGGACAATTGAAACCATAAAAGCACTTGTTTTCGCAGCGAATATCAAGTCCAACGGTAATTCGAAATTTTCATGAAGAGGTGATCATCAAGCTTATACAGTTGTGCAACCATTTCAAGATTTGCTGGCTAAGTCAGCAATAAATGCACTTTTCATGATGACGGCAAAGATAATGTTTGACTTTAAGACTTGATTTGAATGTATGGGGCGTATACTGGACATTAAATGCGTAAAATCACCCAGATTTTTCCATGTGCACTGCCCTGTACTCTTCCTTTCTGCCTTTAGTATGATTTTGCTCTTGAGGCTTGAGTCTTTTAGAACCTCAACGCTGAGGACGGACTACTCACCCATATGAGAAGTAATGATCATAGTATGGAATATGCAACTGTGTACAAAAATAATTCCCTTAGAAGGCACCGCCTCCTCGTGCTATCCTCAAACCAGCCCACTGAATGTTCTCACGTTTCCCAAAAAAACGCAGGCGACCTTCTTTTGATTTTTCCGATTTGTGTTGGGAATTGCTAAAGCAATGTGTGCTCGTTAGATGCCTAAGGCGGCACAGGCGTTGTAAAAATTTAAGCTGTGCCTCTCGTTGAGGTTAATATTGGGTGGCAACGGTGCAAAACGAGGTATGTTTTCATACAGTAAATTTAGCAGTTATACAATTTGTAAATTAAGTGCTTTGAAGTTCAATTCTAGTCAGGTTCAGAAGGTGAGATTAAAGGTCCATTCATACTCGAAACACCCTGTGGTCCACGCCACAGACAAAGCATGAACCCGGCAGGTAAAACCTAGTATCTATCCTTACCGATGCGGTAATTACCCGAAGGCAAACAACGCGACTGGGGTGATTCAGCAATTCGCCATGACTGACAAACAGTAATGTGGACAAAGGTGCAAAGGACTATGAATAAAAAGTAGGCAAGAAAAGAGAGCTTAATTGGTAAGTCCAATGAATGCGTCGGTACTAATCTTTTGCTACATGCGAGATACTAAACGTACGATTCTCAGTAATGTCAAGCAATTGGACTCTCACTCATGGGCTGGTTCAAATGGATGATTCTGCTAGGGTTTTGAAAGAGTAATAATTCTTAGATCTCAGAAACAGTCTCATGTTAGCCTGAGCTGAGTTTAATTCAACCGTATCCA